TGAACAAGGCTGGAGTGTCCAACGGCCGAAACATCGTGAATATGACAATAAAGATGAAGACAACAGTCCGAATAATGTACATAGTGTAAATAGTTAAAATACCTCATCTCGGATATATAGACAGGTGTCTTTTCTTACTGTGAATTACCATGTCTTCTTGGGAAAGATAGTTGAGCAGTTCACTGTTACTTTTTTATCGTTTGAAATTGAATATTTTCCCTTTATTAGATTGGTCATCACACAAAATTAGATAGTCTAGTATACTTAATTATTTAACCCATAGCTAATAGGAGACAAGAAACAGATTTCCAAAGACTTTGCCAAAGTGCGGTAGCGAAAATAACAGACACGGCTGGAATTTGAACTCAGCTCACCGATTTCACTTTCTGTGCCGATAACCGTTACGCTGCCCACACAACTATGCACGATGTAGGCAATCATGAATCTCTACTGTTTCCTTTTCTTTATAATCTGTGAGTTGCTACGACTTCTTGGGAAAGATTCATCAGTGATTTCTCCATACCTTCTCGACGGTTTGGAGGTCAGAGTTTTAACACTGATTGCCTACCAAGTCTAGAGAAACTAGTATACACTGCTATTTAACCCAGGGCTTGGAGCGGAGTATGAAGTGGATTCATGCCTTTCCCAAGTATGCTGTGCGAAATTGAACGCAGCTGACTAGACTGAAATTTGAACTCGGCTCGTCGATTTCCCTTTCCCCGACGATATACGTTAAACTACACGAAGATTATGAGTATACTAGTCCGTAAGAAAAGCTATGTAATACACTGTTGTATATATCTTTAAAATGCGTTAGTGGAAAGTCATGTGCTCTTAGCCTGTGATTTTTTTATCTCTGGTCGTAATAAAAAACAGCTTACAAAACCAGATGTGTCAAATTCAGGGTGTTTCATAAAATGTCATCCCCATCCAAAATGCTTGGTGCTTCTGATGACATATTTAATTTATACACAAAATACATAAATGGCTCTTCTTTTTTTTCACCTATGGATGGATTTTTTTTTTTTACTTAAAAATAAAATCCTTCCAGTCTACTAATTATCTCCTGCTTTTTTTCTTTTTCTTTTCTTTTTTATATATATATATATATATATATATATATATATATATATATATATTTCACTCATTTTGGCGGCGACCGCTTTCCCGCCAAATGGGAGGTGTACAGTCTATGGGGTGGTGTATCTATAGAATCTCGGTCAACACACACCCCCGCAAAAACCCCCACGCTAACCTTCTTTTCTTTTTCTTTTTTTTAAATTGTCTTCTTTGTTATGTTACTTGGGTCTCCAGATTTGTCCCTCTTTCTCCTAGAAAGGCGTCAATGCCACAAAACAGCTGTGTTAATGGTGTCACATTGTCACAGTTAACGCAAAGACAACCAACGCCAAGAATAACATAAAAGAATAGAAAATTAAAACTAACTTATCAAACAGAAACATTTCTCTGTATTTTGTTGTACTCCTGATTCTCTTTTCAAAAAAAAAAAAAAAAAAAAAAACAGAATAGAATAATAGGCATTACTAGAAATACCCGTGCAAATTTCACGGTTTTCTTCTTTGCATTTTCTGATGTTTCATAATTCTTAAGTTAAAGATTGAATAAGTTCCTTTCGGGTTCTGCGACAATAAAATATCCGTGAACATGCCCTTATTGCATCGTTAAATATTTGAGCTTAACAACTTTAACAAAATATTGCAATAACAGTCATAAGCACGAATGCAGGTCATTATTTAAAGAAGTAAAAGGGTACAAATGATAAGATCTGAAACTGAGAAGTTTTTTTTCCATTTCACTGAATGAGACTTGAAACATGAGAGCTTTATCGACTCCTCGATCTTCGTTTCTTTGGTTTTTTTTTTCTTTCTTTTTTTCGCATTGAAATCAAACAGAGTCTCTGATATGTCTTTTCAGCGTTTCCCCGACACCAAAACGATGATGATGATTATGATGATGATGAAAGCAGTCAAAAATTTGGCTCGAAACTAAAACTAGTATTGTGTCCGTAATCCTTCACCTTCAGATTCCGAGCGAAAATACAAACCCGAATATATATATATATATATATATATATATATATATATATATATGAAGTCGTCAAAAAACAAATGTTAGCGAATTATGACAGTTTTTTTATATACACAAAACCCTTTCAGAAAAAATAAAATAAAATAAATAAATTAATTAATCTCCATAGATACTTAACCAGACTAGACGATGTCATCTTCCGCTTTAAATTTAGACACCCCAACCTTACCCTGACTTGACATCTGTGAATGTAACTGAGATATTGATACAAATTATTAACCCTTACGCCCCTTTTCTTTAAACAATTGCTCTAGCCGTTACCATAGTAATTTTAATTTTAATAATGAATATGCTTATAAAACGCGTAAATTTCAAGAATTAGTTATTCCCAAAAAAATTTCGCTTGAAGATCGAACAGAGCTTGGTACTTTAATTCAATTTAATTCAAATAATTATATTGAAATTTTCGGCTCTTGTTTTGAAACACGAGAACTCTTATGTAGGGATGGAATCATTTTAAATAAATAATTATATATATATATATATATATATATATATATATATATATATATATATATATATGAAAATTTCTCTGATTTAACCAGTAGAGAAGATATTTATGAATAAAAATGACAATAGGAAAACTGGTAATTGCTGACGAGTTTCGTCCAATGTGGACTTTATCAAAGTAATTACCAGTTTTCCTATTGTCATTTTTATTCATAAATATATATATATATATATATATATATATATATATATATATATATATATATATATATACATACACACACACGCACATATATATATATTGTGTGTGTGTGTGTGCGCGTGTGTGTGTGTTTGTATGTATGTATGTGTAGCAGAGATATAAAGTTTATAAGACATGAAGTGTTTTGCTCGACATCATGACAAAAAGCATTAAGCATAATATATAAAATAAATTAAATATGATCAATTGACTCCTGCATGTCTCTTCTCTGGGTTTTCGTAAGTTACATCCACTTTTTGGGAGATTTCATCGAACATCCTGAAGAGTGAACGTAATTTTGCAGAACGTAGTAACAGACATAATTGAAATTATATATATGTTGTAACCTAGGGAAGGTTACAGGATAGATTAATCAAACGAACGTTGATAATGAATGATAATACTTAGGACAAGAACAACACATATAAGATTCGCTAGCGCCACGCACAAGAAGTAGTCAACTGCTAGAAGTGTCTTCAGTGAATTCTGTAATGAATCTTCAACTGCAGACCAACATACAGTATTTACTACTGTATTTATGAGTGGGGACATACCCATTATCGTCCGTAGGTACGCTACAACAATATATATATATATATATATATATATATATATATATATATATATATATTTATTTTAATGATAGATATAGATATATATATATTTCCTCAGAAATCACTTAACTGTGAGTTTCATACACAAGACAATCATCATCATAATATACATATATATATATATATATATGTGTGTGTGTGTGTGTGTGTGTGTGTGTGTGTGTGTGTGTGTGTGTGTGTGTGTGTGTGTGTGTAATTATTATAAAATAGAGTGTATCTGTGAAGGAACAAAATGAATAAAAAACAAGAGGAAAACTATTCATAGCTTCCGTGTTTCATCGTCTGAGGGATTTTTTCAAGGCAAATGTAGAATTGATTTTGTTGCACGTCTTTATATACAAGAACAAGGATGGCATTGGTTTATCAAGGTTTTTAAATTCGACAAGGTTAATGTATATTCATCAGGTGGTTGAAAGATCAGTCAAAACATGTGGAGGACACAAAGTGCCATAATTCAAATATTCTCATATTTAAAATCCTTGATAAACCAACGATATTCTTTCTCTTGTACATAAATTCCTGTCTATATATGGTAGTAGTTCTCCATTTTAGGCCTGATCTGACTCTTGTAAAGCTAGAGAATATCAACAGAAGTTAGGTACTAGAGGATAGCAACGGGAGCTAGGTACTTCCTGCAGCAGTACAGAGAACCAACCATTTTCTCAGCTTCTTTAGTGATGGATTGTATAAACGTGCTCCACTTGAGGTCTGAAGTCCCAATAGGTGCTCAAGACACGGGGCCTCCCTGAGGGAAAATCCATTCATCGTGATCGGTGATAGTTCAGTGTTCAATAGACAACGATAAAATATAACTAGTTTTTTCCCCATTGAGATATTAACGCTACCAATCTCTGGCCAACTAGCGTTTTGGAGGTGCACCCATATACCGTCGTATCATCAGCGTAGATGTTCACAAATGATCAGAGTATACACTTGGGTAGATCATTTATGTAAAAAGAGGATTGATTGGAGAAGCGATCTCTGGGAGCCTCGGAGGACTGAACGTTAACAACTACTTTCAGAGGAAGGACTTTATAGTTGAAAAAACTCTTTCGGTGATTCCATTTGCGAGAGAATTTGTACAGCAATCCTTTGTGCCGCACCTTGTCAAATGCCTTTGAAATATCTAATGCGGTAGTCCTTGAGATGTAATTGTTATCTAGACAGATAGATAGGTAGATAGATATGAACTGAGAAAAAGTCCACATTGGACGAATTATGTCGGCTAATAATACAGTTTCCCTATTGTCTTTTGCCTTGATAGATAGATAGATAGATAGATAGATAGATAGATAGATAGATAGATGAGGAGAATATATGATGATCATAATAGATAGATAAATAGATAGATAGATCAAGAGAGTATACGATGAGTATAATAGATAGATAGATAGATAGATAGATAGATAGATAGATATGATAGATAAATGGATAGATATGAACTGAAATGGATAGATGAGATAGATAGATAGATGAACTGATAGATAGATAGATAGATAGATAGATAGATAGATAGATAGATAGATAGATAGATAGATAGATGTGGAGAGTATATGGTGATCATAATAGATAAATAGATATAAAGATCAGGAGAGTATAATAGATAGATAGATAGATAGATAGATAGATAGATAGATAGATAGATAGATAGATAGATAGATAGATATGAACTGAGAAAGATAGGTAGGTAGATGTGAACTGAGATAGATAGATAGATAGATAGATAGATAGATAGATAGATAGATAGATAGATAGATAGATATCAGCTATTAACTACTATTTTCTACTTTCGTATATACAAACGAATGAAAGGAACCTTGATAGGACGTACAAAACACTTTGCGATAATTCACTAAGAAAATAAGAGAGTCATTTATTGCAAAGTACAAAAATATTTGAATCAGTATATCATAAATATTTTGAAATCCTTTTGCCGAAATTGCTTCCTCCACCCCCGTGTGTTGAAAAAAAATCCCCTACCCCCAGTAAGTATGTAGAAAAAAACCTAAAAGCATCTCCTGTAAAGTGGTATACAATGAATCTTTTCTTTTTATGTGTCATGTCCTTTCCTGACGTAGGCGATCATGGCTCTCTCCCACCATCTATCTCTTGCAGCTCTTAACAAGTTCTTTCCCTCTACCACCTCCCCCAGACCACGTTCTGTCATCCACTTGCACAATCCCTGTAGGTATGTCATATGTTGTTATTCTTTGTCTCTCTTTCCCTCTATGTATCCCTTTATGTGTCCCAGAAACTTCAGCTGCCTCTTCCTGATATTAAGTATAAGCCTTCTCCTTGTTTGCATCCCCTCTAAGACCTCATCGTTGCTCATACGATCGGTCCATGATATCCTTAGCGTCCTTCTGTAGAACCACATCTCCGTCGCCTCGAGTCTATCCTTCATCTTTGAGGAAATCATAAAAACTCCTCAGAAATTTTCAATTTGAGTAAAAATCGATACGTTTCGAATGATGATAATTAAGCTTACAAGTTTGAACACATTCGAAAATTAAAATAAGAATTTTAATAGAATTTTTTTTATTAAATTTTCTATTAAAATAAGAATTTTAATTAGAAAATTTTTTTATTAAATTTTCTGTTTGCCACAAAAATTTCTATTTTTAATCTAAGAAATATAGAACTATTAAAACATATTTTAAAGAAATTCATTATAGAAATACACACAACAAAAATCTTTAAAATCCAAATTCGCCCCCCAAATTAAGAATTTCTATTTATATATGTGTCAATAAAAAGATGTTTGCAGAAATTTGCATCGCGTGATTTGATGTTATCAGCAAATTTTCCGCATGCCATTGCTTCAAAATAAAGTTATAAATATGAAGGAGATTTTGGCTGACAGAACAGATGTTGGACTAAATCTGTATCTCGTTGTTGTTATTCAACCTTTATGTCACCGGAGTTTTTGGTTTCAAAGCTCGATACGCTCAATGCAATGACACTTTCTCCAAAAATTTAATATTTTTGAATAATGGTCGAAAAGTTTGAGACAAAGACACTAATGCATCTTTATATTTGAATACCTTTTCATGTTAAAAAAGAGTGATGTGAAAATACTTACAGATACTAAACATTATTGTCACAATATAAACAGACATAATAACAGAAGAGTAAAACACACACATACATACATACATATATATATATATATATATATATATATATATATATATATATATATATATATATATATGTGTGTGTATTTAGGCATCTTTTCATTCATACACGTTTCATTAAATAATATAGACAACTGTTGTCTATTTATTTTATGTAAATTCTTTTCATAACGTCTGATAAATTTAATAACATTATCGTCGAACGAAGAAAGAAATTCATTGATCCATATTTTTTAATACAATCTAAGCTTTCGGCTTACATAAGCTATTATCAAAGATGTCAGTTACAACATATTAAGCAATATACGGACAAGACAGTGATACTTATATTTACTGCTTTTATTATTTAATTAAACGTGAAATATATATATAATATATATATATATATATATATATATATATATATATATCATCCACAGAAAGACTGTTTCGCTGTTTTACAGCTCATCAGTGGGACTAGACATTCGATTGCCTCAAACCGGAATCCAAACCCGACTGATTTGGTATCAATCGGAGACTCCACTCCACTCTCTCTCTCTCTCTCTCTCTATATATATATATATATATATATATATATATATATATATATATATATATATACATTTCATACGACAGATTAGGTGCTTTGATTTAGTTTTTTATACGATTTCTCATGTGATCTAATTTTTTCTTTTTGGGTGATAAATTATATAGAAACAGTCCAACTTTTCTTTTTATCCAAGGTTGAAATATAGGAACAAAAATAGTTTATTGCATGTATGTATTTAAATAATGTTTTCATTTTCGAAACACGGTCAAGATATTGTGTCCATGTTCATAGTTTATATTATTGAGTGGGTTTTTTTTAGTCTTTATTTGCATGCAGATGATGCTAATATATCTGTATTGTCAACAAGTATGTTACGAATAGGGTCCGGTAGAGTTAAGTACGTATTGTTTTCCAATCTTCAGAACTTTATCAAGGATGTTATGTTATGGGGTCTTCCCCTTTTTCATATAAATGGACTCGACCACTCGACCAGAGTGTTACTGGGACTGCTGCCGTTAAATACCCTGAGTCAGTCAGAATAGGGAGATTGAGAGAGATATTGAGAGAGTGAGCAGAGATTGTGATTGAGTTGGAGGTAGAGTAATAGTGTGAGGTAACCGCTTGTGGAAGTCAGTTACAAGCACGTAGACTCTAAGGAAGTCCTACTTCGAGACTGTATATATATATATATTATTATTGCTACTAGCCGCGTTCCTGGATTTACTAACAATATACCCATTGTATTATTGTGTAAATACATTTAATTTCTTATCTTTATTTCTTGCGTTTGTCATTCATTGGAGACCGAATTTCATCTCGGAATCCACAACAATATATATATATACATTCTTTTTATAGATACAAATATTTAAGTAAATGCTCTGTTTTATAATAAACAGTATTAAACAACATTTACCGGCCTGAATGTCCGAGAAATTTTCACAAAAAATATTCGTCCTCTGAACCTGTATCCCATACGGAACCGTCATTTAGCTTGACGTGCCTTTAACCAATTTGGCCACAGAGGAGCCTTCCGTTAGCAAGGTCGAATTTACTGTATTTGAACTTCAATCTTCTATGAATCTCTCACGTACATTCATATATATATATATATATATATATATATGTATGTATGTATGTATGTATGTATGTATGTATGTATATCAGGCAACTAAAATTCTGACTAAAATTACATAGGACAACTAGAATTCGGACTTAAAATCTACTTCAGCTGCTGAGACTTAATTAAAATTGCGATGGATAAATTGTCGTCTAAATTATCTAAAAATGAAAATAATAGTGATATCTTATTTTGACAGCGATATTTACCAAAATTACGCAAAAATTTATTCAATAAAGTCGCCATTGGCTTCAACCACAGCCTCCAGAAGACATCGGAATCATCTGCAACTCTCCTGGACGGTCTCTGTTTGGTCAATGCTGCCATAACGCTTGCCTTCAGTTCATCTTTGGTGTTACAAGGCGTTTTGTTGGTCTCTCGTTCAAGTGTTGAAGTCTGGGGAGTTAGGTGGTCAGAGGTAAGTGGATATGCGGTCGCAGAAACTGTCTGACAACCATTACTGGGTTCTCCTGATTATGTGGCATGGTGCAGAGTCCTGTTGCCAGACATGTGGTCTTCTAGCAGCCACCCTCTTCACCCAGAGCAGCACTACCTCCTAAAGGCACTTGATGTAGGCCTCCGTGTTGAGTCTGAGGCCCTCACCAACAAATTCTTTTGTTCTTTTCTCATCGGAACGATCAAAGTGCCGTATCTTCGTATTCACCGGTAGACTCGTTAAATGCTTTCCGTATCCTCTGCACTTTCCTTAGATTGACACCCAAACATTCTGAAAAGTTCGTATTGGAGCATCCGGTGCAAATGCCAAGCAGTACAGCATGTAGTTTCCAAATTTCTGGTGGAATGAATTGCGTCATTGTGCTATTTTTTCTCACAGACGGTGCTTAACTGACCCTACTATACTTGTTCAGTCGATGAAATCAAAAACAAACAACGCGCATGCGCGAAATAAAAATATAAAATAGCGACAATTTACCTATCTCACCGTGTATGTATATATAGTCTCTAAGACTTTTAAGTAAATATCTAAATCCAGTTTACTCAGAATTAGACGTTTATATATATATATATATATATATATATATATATATATATATATATATATATATATATATATATGTGTGGGACCGTGTGTGTGTGTGACTGTGTGCGTGTGTGTGTTAAGGCAACTATTTTCATTCAAATAGGTTTGATTAAATAATTTAAACATACTATTTTTGTTTACTTTTGTTTTAATCCTTTCGTGTCCACGAATCAATTTCATGATAGGCGTAGAAAATTGATTAAGAAAAATTACAAAATTTTCTTTCAAATAATTTTCTTTTTCCCAAGTACTTTCAGTCTCATCTGTGACCATTTTCAGAGGATTAAATTGTCAGCGTATGTGTATACGTATTTCTGTAAATTCAAAATATTTTTGACGTTCATTTTACTGCATTTTTTTTATCATTCTATATCAATTTCAAATTCACGAGGCTTTTTTCTCCATACAAGGGAGGCAGCAAAAATCGTAAAAAGCGTGAAAAACAAGGTCACGCTCTATTACTGATATCGAACGCTTTCCACTATGTACCGCACATATAAAATTATAGATAGATAGATAGATACACACACACACACACAAACACACACACATATATATATATATATATATATATATATATATATATATATATATTGGTGCATGTTTCATTAAAGAATATAGACATATCGTCTAAGCTTAATAACATTATCATTAAACGAAGAAAAGAAAATCACAATATTGATACATATTTTTTTTAATCCTATCTAAGCTTTCGGCTTACATAAGCCAGGATCAAAGATGACAATTACATTACAATATATTAAGCAATACACGGACAAAACAGTGATATATATATATATATATATATATATATATATATATATATATATATATATATATATATTCTTTTTCTTTTTCTCCCAATTTTAGTCCTTGATATATCCCTGAAGAATGAGGTATGATAACCACTCGGCTTCTTTTACCTTCTATTTTTAATA